TCCAACTGCCGTCTCTAATAGACACAGCACTGGGTTCACAGGTGTGGGATTTTTTTTTTTTTTTTAAAGGATTTTTGTGAACACAAAGTGATGTGATACCCCAAAAGCCACCAACCTTCAGAATCCTGTAGATACCATGCCTACTCATGTTGGCCGTGCCCTACGTAGGTTTAGAAAAATTATTCATAGCTTATTTTCTTATTCTTGGGTTGTACCCAAGATCTAGAATTTTAAATAGATACAACTTTTAAAAATTGCAGTAAGAACTATCAAGATTAAATCTTAATTTTAAAGAGCAAAGAAAACAGACTGCCTTTGGAGAGAGCTATAAACAGTTTCCTGATCTTGTACATGCTCCCTACTACACACCAGTGAATAGGGGCTTTTTTTAAATTTGTTTTTTATTTATTTTTTAAAGTTTATATTTATTTTGAGAGAGTAAGAGAGCATGTGAAAGTGGGGGAGGGGCAGAGAGAAAGGGAGAGAGAGAATCCCAAGCAGGCTCCACATTGTCAATGCAGACCCCAATGCAAGGCTCCAACCTATGAACCTTGCGATCATGACCTCAGATGCTTAATGGACTGAGCCGCCCAAGTGCCCAAGTAGGGGCTTTTAGTAAAAACACACTTGTGTGCTCATCCCAAGTTCAACTGGCTCATTGCTTTTCACCTTGGGCAAGTTACCTCCTCATCTTTGTAATGCAGATAATATAGTATTCGCCTCAGAGGGTTGAGGAAAAAAGCAAAGGAGCTCATAAATACAGTGGAGTTTGTGCTGGTTGTACAGGCGATCCACAACAGTGATGACTATTCCTCCTACTGTATCTATTGTAGTCTCACCAGGGAGGGGCTTTCCCCAAGCAATGAAATTACCTGAAAATGTCCATAACACGAAAGAATTCCCATCAGCAATACATAGTCAATTTGCATTTTTTTCCAGAAGCATTGATCTAAATCTGATGAAAAGCTCACTGAAAACTCTTGGAAGTTTCCTTTTAATTGTAAGGCTTTCTGATAAATTCTCACTTTCTTTCATTCATTCATTCAACAAAAACATGCTACATTTCTACATAGTATGGAGTTAGAAAAGATGAATCACCACACTTCTCCATAAAGCGTTTGCAGTTTAATAAAGGAGATAATATACTTGCATAGATAGCTATATTAAGGGAATAGTAAAAGGTATAAGATGGATAAGAAAAATTATCACAGAAAGAGGAAAGATTACTCTGAGGTTCAAGGAATAACCACAAAGAAGGTATTATCTGAAATAGACATTGAAGGAGAGTTGTGATTCAGACAAGCAGAGCCAGCAGAATGGAGGAGGGTGCTATAGATTCAATGAATAGCCTGAGAAAGGCAAGTACAAGGGCCAGGGCTGACAGGTACAGGTGGTTGAAGACTAGACAGATGAACAACAGAAGGGGAGGCCCTTGAATATCTGACTCTGTGACCAGAGGCCCAAATGAATTGTGCTTTACTCTCTCTTTGTACATAGAGTTCAGCCCTTGTAGCAAGGCAATTTCAATTAAGTCTTACTTAAGGCAAAGCATGTGGGGTTTTTTAAAGCATCTGTATACTGTTCTTTGTGTGTTACTCTTTTTTTTTAAATTTATTTTTGAGAGACAGAGACAGCATGAGCAGGGGAGGGTCAGAGAGAGAGGGAGACACAGAATCCGAAGACAGGCTCCAGGCTCTGAGCTAGCTGTCAGCACAGAGCCCGATGCAGGGCTCGAACCCACGATCCGCGAGATCATGACCTAAGCGAAAGTCGGACGCTTAACCGACTAAGCCACCCAGGCGCCCCTCTTTGTGTGTTACTCTTATTGTAATCAGGAGAAAGCAACAGGATCTGAAGTTTTCTTCATGGCACCTTCGTGGGTCCTTTAATTCTCAGTACTCATCTGCTGTGACATTGGAAGAAACTACTTTTATATTCCCTTGGCCAACCTTCAGTGGCATATCTATCTGAAATTTACAGCCTCAGCTCTGAAACACCTCCTACATAAATACTATGACTGCTGAGGAGCCCAGTTGGGGAGCATCTGACAGTGAAAGGCTGGCGACATGTGAAAACAGGGTTCGTTCCGGAATGAGAGCTGAATGGTTGGGCGAGGCTATGTATGGAGTTAACAGCCTCTCCCTAACTCTTTTATTAAACACTCAACTAACCTTCAATTGCCCTTTTAGAACTTAATCTCAGTGCAACCTCCAGCATTACAAAATCATCAAGCATAACAAGGTACTACCCTGAAAGGGGGAGGGTCTCTGTTAAATGTTAAAAGACTAATTAATTCCAACTTCCTAGCCCTGCCAATGTCCTAGAATGGGAGGTGGGATAGATTTATAAATCACGATCTCTATTAGCTTGTGTAAATAATACATTTATAGCAAACTGGCACACGGTTAAAAAAAAAAGCATCCTTCGAAACTTCTACAAATATAGAATGCCAAATTATTGGCAGAATGTTTCTTATGAGGTAAGCCTTATTTTCTAGGAAACATCAATGATTATTTTAGGGTCTCTAAGAAAGTTAGTTCATACATAAAATCCATTCAGCAATAAAGTTTATGTTCTGGGGCACCTGGGTAGCTCAGTCGGTTAAGCGTCCGACTTTGGCTCAGGTCATAATCTCACAGTTCATCTTGGGCTCTGTGCTGACAGCTCAGAGACTGGAGCCTGCTTCCGATTCTGCGTGTCCCTCTCTCTGCCCCTCCCCTGCTCATGATCTGTCTCTGTCTCTCAAAAATAAATAAATGTTAAAAAAATTTATGTTCATGTTTTCTCTGATTTCCTCCTGTTGAAAAATTCCTTTTTTGTAGACACCCATTTAGCTAGTCCTTGTTACCCAGCATTTCTCAGAGTGTTTTGCTTAGGCTACCAGGATCACCTGAAGATCCTGGGGCTCACCCCAGGCTAATCAAAGAGGCTTTATTGGGGCAAGGTCCTGGATTTTGTATTAGAAAGAAGAAAACTTCTTTATTTCTATGATTACTGAAACCACTTAAACCAAAGATGGAATTGATGCTGGGTGCAGATATTCTTCCCAGCAGGCATGTGGCCAGATGAATGATGTCATCTAAAGTCAAAAACTTAATATACTATCTTGACCAACAAGTTATGAACAGCCAGCAGAACATCTGTGGGTGGAATTTCAGAGGATAATTATAAACCAAACTTCTAGAAATACTCAACTGCTATTTACCTTTCTTCCTTTTACTGTTTGGCACTCCTCTCCCTGTTTAAATTTTTTTGTTGTTGTTATTTTGTTTTGTTTTGTTTTTACCTTTTCCTTCCTTTTGGATCTTCCCCAGATACTGAATAATAAGACTAGCTATGTGTTGTGTTACAAAAAAAGAAATGTTTACAACAATATCACTCTTGCAAAAACATACCTTCCAAAACAATTCCATTTCTTGCATATGAACCCCACACTTCCTCAGCCCATTTAAGCTTTTCTTACGTAATTACAAATAAATGTATATTTTGGATACTGGCAATTTTTTAAATTTTCTAAATACTGCCTTTGATCTTCAAGTTTATAAATATATTACCAATTATAGCTTGATAAATGTTATACTTTAAATCAACCAACTGTTTATTTTATAACTTATAGTTATGTGTTCTGTGAAAGAACTTGAAGTAAAATGTACGTCATACTTGACAAGGAGGCTGTGTGATTGATAAGAAGAGATGGACCTGCAAAGAGAAGATATAAATTTAAGTCCCGGTTTATTATCCACATGATGCCAGGGAAATTTTAGTAAGGTCTTCGAGTGTCAGCTTCCTCTTCAAATAAACTAAGAATCAAAATAATTTTTATTTCATACCGTTACTATAAGGGTTAAAGGAGATCAGGAATATTTTGTTTCCCAGTTCCGCACTTGTGAATGCCTGATAGTGCTAAGGAAGTCATGACTTGTTCCTTGATCCCTGAAACAGCTTTCAATTTATTTTTGGTTTTGTGTTTTTCAAAATGAGAGTTGGTTTTCTTGCTCCTTGGGGATTTAGGACATTGTTTTTGCACATTTGGCTCATCACATTCATCAAATGCAAAATGCAATGCTCAAGTTTAGATGACACTTTTGCCATCAAGTGGTCACTAGGAGAAACTGCAGTCTAATATCCAGGTGTAATAAGCCACAGCCACATGATGCTCATCAATTAAAATTCTATGCAAAGGAACCAAAAACTGTAGCATATCTTCTTATTCCTTGGTGATATAAAATGAGTAATAAAACTAATCTAAATCTGCAACACCATCTTACTCTTTATTCCTCTTTGATTTACCCAAGGGCTCACAATCAACAACAATTGAAAAATCGTTGGCTCTCCCACATCCCTAATGCCTTTTCCCTCAACTTATCGCCAAAGATCTACAAAGACATCTGAGACTGAAATGTCAGGATGGGGGCTAGGGAACCACCAGCAGTTCACTACCAAAATATACCCAGCATTTTTTGTGTTTAATCTTTATAACCCCATGAATAGTATACCAATATCTTCGATTTACAAGTTTGGAAACTAAGGCTCAGATTGCATTCAGTAACTTCCAAGGTTGCCCAGTTGATGAGCAGCAGGATACGCTTCAAACCCAGTACTCAACCAAGGCTCTCCACCCATCTTTCAGGGCCTCCCTGCATGTCCCATCTTGGCTCTATATCTTTTAGCTTTACCTTCTATAGAATTTTAGTAAGAAATCTTCTACTCCAGATATCTATATCAGCACATTTGAGTCACCTGGGGAGATTTTTAAAAATATGAATGCCTAAGTTCCCTCCAGATCAGTTATAACCAAGACTCTGAGAGAGGGGCTCCAGCACCTATGATTTTAAGAAAAATCTGCCAATGATTCTGTTGCACTGTGAGAGTTGAGAACCACGGTTTTAAATAATATTACTCATGTTAAAACTTCTTTCTATTGTTTTAGCATTTAGTTAGGGGGATATTCTTACTATAAAATATCTTATTAATACAGAGTTTCTGTCTTGTAATAACAGGTGGATGAGATATTTATAGATTCGGCCTTGAACAAGCATTATATCAAGAACCGAGTAGTCAGACTGACGTATGTATGTTTGGGCAAAGGTGGAGTCACGGCCTGGAGGGATAGAGGGCAAAGGAGATGAGAACTCATTACATATTGTTGCCTCTGTGAGCTTGGCGCTTGCCTAGGATTTCTCATGAATAGCATCTCTACAGCAGTTTCGAGATACGGGGCTGACCACCATTTTTAAAATGTAAAAACTAAGATGCAGGGAGGTTAAGTGATACATTCAATGCTCCCCAAATGACAGAACAAGGATTCAAACCCCATCAACTGATTGTAAGGTGTGGGACTACCAGAACATGTGGCCTTGGGAAAACCCAGCATCATGTCACTGCATACGCCAAGTTCTTTCCTTTAGATATGTCATTTCAAAGATAAGAAGGCAAAGTTGGCTATATAATGGGATCATAAGTTTTACTTGTAATGAAGTCCCAGTAACAGGAGGCATGCCCAAACAGAAAGATGTTCCTGTTTTAATAAGTTTTCTGTTTGTTATGGTAGAGGGAGAAAGCTCATATCAATTGCTGAAATTGCTCAGAGGTTTCAATTGTGTTATTTGGAAAGCATGTAGCAGAACATATATATAATAAGTGAAAATCTATGGGCCTGTATGACTCATCTTCTTAAAAATGAATACATTCAGACAGATATATATTAAGGAAATAATCACTTTTCTCACCAATAGACTAATGCCTTATTGGAAGACTTATTCCAAGTTCCTTATACCTTTACTAAATAGCTAGTGACCCCCAGAAGAATTTTATAATATAAATTGGATAAATTCTATAAAAATTAGGAAATACACATATTTGTTGAAATTTTCTAGATTTCACATCTTCTGTTTTCAAATTCTGATTTGCCATACCGTTCTAGCAACATTATTATAGTCTTGTGAACTCCTTTGAACTTACAGTCATTATCATTATGTAAGTTTTTGGGTGTGTCCAGAGAAATTCCATCTTGTAAACAATGTTTTCCCTTAATTAAACAGAGAATATAGTTGACAATTTGACATAAAATTCTGATTATTTACATCTTCACATTCTAGAGCCTAAATGCACCACAATATATAAAAGCCTCCGAATCAATATGATTTCCTCTGTTTTTAGTCAAGAGATTTGAGACAAGTAGGCCTATAGTGCTTTTCAGAGTTTGGGTCTTTTAAGGTATGAAAATAAGAGATATAACAGATCAATACATAGATTTACATTTTTTAAAGACCTTTAATAGTTTGGTTTTCCTAATTTTAGAGGAAAACTGAATATTATAGGTAAAGGGACTTGAACTTGTTCATATGAAGAAAAGTTCAAGGAACTGGACATGTTTAATCTGGAGAAGACTCAAAACCAAGAATGCTGTTGTCTTCAAATATTTTATGTGGGGGAGGAAATTAATGTTCTATATATGTCCCAACTAGACCTAAGCCTAATGTAATAGAAGATATAGGAAGACATATTTCAACTCAAAATCAAGAACTCTCTTAAAACCAGAGCAGACCAAAGAGAAAAAGCCTCTCGAGGGAAGTAAATTTCCCATCATTTATATTACTGTACTGGGATTAGAGGGCTGCTTATCACGAATGATGCAGAGGTGATTTAGGTATCAGATACATGAGCAATTGGCCAAAGAGACTGCTAAAGTTTCTTCCAATCCTCAGACTTTATGAGTTTGAGGAAATAGTTTTTGATATCTGCATCTTACCCAACTGCTATAACAAACCTTCAAATTAGTGGAAAAAAACATGTTGTTGTTGTTTTTTACCAAAAAACATAATGGAAACTTGAAGAGAGAACATATGAAATGCCCTTGTGTCAGAGAGTGACATGCAGATGAATGTCAACGTGAGAGGATTAGTCCCTGACATTTGTAGCAATTGAGATATAATTCAGGAGCATTAAATATAGGAAAGAGTATGATACCCAATGTATTTTTGGAATAAATACCTTTCTCTTGTATATCGTAGTCCAAAGGAAGATGGTGTGAAAGTAGATATCATTATGGTATTCCAGTTCCCTTCTTCTGAGCAAAAGGCCTTGATAAAGGAAAAAATCCATAGCATCTTAAATCAGAAGATAAGGAACACAAGAGCCTTGTCAATAAATGCCTCTTCAGTTCAAGTTAATGGTAAGTAGGTGCACTTTTTTATGGGATGTGAAGTTTTTTATTAGGTTCATTTTATGTCTAATCTTAACCTTGCTTGCCATTATTTCCATTCCAAATAACAGCTAGAATATAGATGGAAAAAATTTCAAGTTAAAAAGTGACACCTCGGGGCGCCTGGGTGGCTTAGTGGGTTGAGCGTCTGACTTTCACTTAGGTCATGATCTCGCGGTTCGTGGGTTCTAGCCCCGCGTCGGGCTCTGTGCTGACTGCCAGCTCAGAGCCTGGAGCCTATTTCGGAGTCTGTGTCTCCCTCTCTCTCTGACCCTCCCCTGCTCACGCTGTCTCTCTCTCTCTCTCCTGGAAATGAATAAAAATATTTAAAAAAAAAAAAAGTGACACCTCAAGGTTTTATTTTTCTCTGATGAAAGCATGTCTGAAGTTAGCTGTTAAGTGGTTTATCCTCTAGGTATTCACTGGTACTCATCCTAAAATACGGAAACTTTACCACTAACAGAGAATTAATCTGACTCAGCCACTGCCTTCATGACTAAGCAAGTGAAAATACTAAGCATTTAGCAACAACTACTTTTCTAGGTGGGACCTTCCTAAAACATGAGGTCATTTGTTGCCTTCTAAAATATGGATAGTTTCTGTATATAGTGAAGTTATGAAGTTTCTACTTTTTCCTGTGGGCATTTGGGAAAATGGTAAACCAGCTTTGGAGCCACTAAAGCCATCCTAGAAGTGATGCTTAAAAAAATCACTGAGCTCGAAAAAAAAATCATTGGAACCATTATACTATACCATTATCATTTCTCTAAAAAGGAAAAAGAGTAATTATCAAGGCCTTCTCTAGCCCTTCACATGCAGCATCTAATTTCTATATTCTTATGAAGTAGGTAAATTTACCTTTTATAGATACAAAAGAGAGATAAAAAAGTAAGGACTCTAGAAATTAAAATGATATAAGATTCAAGTCTAGATCTCTAATTTCTTGATAGGCTCTGTATAAAAAAGGGTTCTGTGGTCAAACACATCTTAGAAATTCTGTCTATGATATTCATCTCTTATATTAGCATATTAAAGGCTCTGAGGAGTCCATCTAGACAGAAACCTGTTTACCCTTGTACATTAAGCTGTTTCCACAAGCAACTGCTTCTGGCAGACAAGTGCAGATTTCCCCTACAAATTCCAATGGACACCAGACTTAAGAGAATCACAAAGGAAGTGATTAATATCAGAGGTGAAACAGGATGCCCTGCCCTTGTAAGGGTCTAGTTGACTCTTCAAGAGGAAACCTGACCAGGAAGTAAAAATCTGAGGGAATGGGATGGGCAGGAGTTTGCTGATGTGACAAAGAGTCAGCTACTCCAGGAATAAAGATGGGGACCTCTCCCAACCCAGGAGGGAAGGGCCTATCAAGGGCTTAATCCACTTTCTTTGTTATGTAGGGAAACAAATGAATCAAGGTTGTGAAATAGTGGCAATTCTGATAAATTATATAATATGTTACAATTATAATTTCCAATGACCAGTTAATTTGCCATAAATTTAAAAGCCTATCTGAAACCAGAAATGAAGCATGAAATGGTCATGAGTTACCTAGCCTTTTTGTTCTTTTTTTTCACAGCTCAGTTTGTGTGCTATAGCTTATTTTAATGACTAAGAAATCATTAAAATGCAGGGTGTGCTGATGGAGAACCTATTCTAATCCCACTGAGTCACTGCAAGACCACCCAAGTAATTGGCCCATGACTTTACCTCCATCCTCTCATCTGTAAAATTGCAATGATAATGTTTGTTCTTCCTATAATCATAGAAATAACATGTGGATATACAAGAAAATAGAAAATGTGCAACATATAGGCCATTAACACTTAGAAAGCTAGTAAGTTGTTGTACAAATGCTTTGTACACAATGCATGTGATTGGTAGTAGAAAAAGTCAGAACATTGAAGCTTTCAAAATTTCTAAATACAAAAAGAGCAGTGTTTACTAGCACTTTGGAAAACCCATTTAGTGAAAAGCTCAGTATTATCCTCAAGGCAATTTTTACAGGCAAAATCATCACTCTCTAGGAACACTCAATCCGGGGGCTCCCAATAAATGGAAAACTGCCAAATTTCTAGAACAAGTCTAGAAATACCCTGCAGCCCAAGATTCCCTGTCATTTGTCAAGAATCTGTGGAGGGAGGGTATTTTTTGTTTGTTTTTTGTTTTTTTTGTTGTTGTTGTTTGTTTTGTTTTGCTTTGTTGTTTTTCAGGAAAAAACAAAACTATGGGGTGTGAGTCCTTTATGGGATGCAATGTGTCAAAGCAAAGCTAAAATCAACTTTTTTGCATTGCAAACACCATGGTTATGAAAGAGCAGCTCCCTGCCCACGTTTGGTTTGTGCGTGTGCTCCAGTTCCCAGATTCTACTTGTAGTGTGCAGAGCCCTGATTACTAACTAGATTACTCTAACCTCAGAAGTATGTTAGAGGGTCACTCTCATGACTAAAGTGTTAATGTTTATTCAACTCCTACACATGAAAAGTAAAATCATTTGGTAAAAATTAGGTATGTTCACTGGTTGAAATAAATAAAACAGTTTATCCTCATTCTGCTCAGTAAGCCTCTTCATCTTGAAAATCATCAGTTTTCATATAACCTTCCACCAACTTCAGTTTAAATGTTCATGTTTCTTTGTAAGAATCCTGTTGGAAATTGACAGAATTTAACTTTGGATTCTGTCCAATAATTGGTCTTTACCAATACTTAGCAGATATAGGATAAGAATACACAAGTTTATTCTACAGAAAAAAATCATTTTGATAATTTAGAAACTCTGTTTTAGAAGTATTTTCAATATAGTTATTTGGGTGCTTTATCTTTTCATTCATAAACGCTTTGACCAAAGAAATGCTTATGTGAAATCTTAAATAGAAGAAATAAAAACAGAGCTGTTCTGATTGAGGCTGGATTTGAGCCTGGAGGTCCAATCTACTTGCTGCCTCTTTCCCCATTTCACTTCACCCCTGAAATGAAAGCCAAAGAAGCTTTATTCTGCACCATTAGAGAACCATGGCTCTGTATTAATACAAACTATTTGTGGATTTTAATCATCCACAATCACTTAATCACTTAATCACTCATTGCTTGAGGATTTATACACCTAATTAGAGGTGGCCTATAAATCTCTATAAAAATTGTATGCATATCCTGTTTTATTGGGTAGGAATTCTCCTGAATATTTGTTCAACTGTCTAGAATCCATACATAGTCAATATTCTCTGATAATTTCTGGTCATTGAAACCAACTGGGAGGATGTCACATTATCGTTCTATGTTCTATTTTGTTTTTCAGCAATGAGTTCAGCAACAGGAGAGCTAACTGTCCAAGCATGTAAGTCTAGTTAGCTTATAAAGACAAGTTCAATTTCCACATCAATATCTTCAAATATTAGCTCATAATTTCCCATCCATGTCATACATTTTCTGTGGAAGAGGGTAACAAGTGGACCATAAACAGAAATATTTTTTTCTAACTCTGAACCTGATCTTTACATCATGTTCAAGAAAAACATTTCACATGATGGGAATTTGGGGGCAATTTGAAGAAATCATGTATTTATGGCTTGGAATAAATGGGCTTGCTCTTCTAATTTTTAAAAATGATATGAAATGTTCTTTCTGCTGAGAAATAAAATATGAGAAAATGATAAATGGGGAAGAAATAGACCCTACTATCTGTGACTGAGCTATAAAATTTGTTTACTACATTCATTTTCATGGTTGACATCAGCTTCACCCACTCCTTTCATATCACTGTGGCTTAAATTTTGAAAGATTTTAATCAAAGTGGTGATGAATTTGAGCAAAAGTATTCATGCATTTGCCTCTGTGTCTTGCAAACTATACTTATCTATTCATTCGTTCATTCAGAAAGTGAATACCACTATGAATAAGACATGATCCCTTGTCTAAAATTGAGAGTTCAAAGGTAGGGGAAAATATAAATAAATCAGGAAATGTTAAAATAACGTGATAAGTGCTACAACAGAGAAAGTGCACAGTGCTATGAGAGCCAATCACAGAGTCAGCTTAACCTGGTCTTGGAGGGTCAGAAAGTGATCCCTGAGACAAGAGAGAGGAGAGAGACCAGGAGTCAAGTGACAAGTGGGATGATGTCCTTGCCAGGGGGAGCACTATGTAAAAATGTCTTTAGAAAAGCAAGAACGTCTTTGGTTAGGTTTATTCCTAGATATTTTATGGTTTTTGGTGCAATTGTGAATGGGCTCAGTTACTTGATTTCTCTTTCTGTTGCTTCATTATTGGTGTATAAAAATGCAACTGGTTTCTGTACGTTGATTTTGTACCCTGCGACTTTGTTAAATGTGGATGGAACTTGAGGGTACTATGCTAAGTGAAATAAGTCAGGCAGAGAAGGACAGATAACATATGTTTTCACTCATATGTGGATCAGGAGAAATTTAACAGAGGACCATGGGGGAGGAGAAGGGGAAAAACAGGGAGAGAGAGGGAGGCAAACTGTAAGAGACTCTTAAATACTGAGACAACCTGAGGGTTGATGGGGGATGGGTGAGAGGGGAAAATGGGTGGTGGGCATGGAGGAAGGCACTTGTTGGGATGAGCACTGGTGTTATATGGAAACCAACTTGACAATAAACTATATATTTTTTTAAAAGTATAGCTCAAAAAAAAAAAAGAAAAAAGAAAAGCATGAACATGGTCACTTATTGTAATTGAAAAATGTCAGTGTAACTGGAACGTAGAATGGGGGTTGGGGAATATGGGAAATGGATATGATTAATAGTGATCAAGGACCAGAATGATGCTCAAACATTTCAACCTCATTTAGAGGGCAATAGGAAGTCACTCAGTCAGATTTCAGTATAGAGAATAGATTAGAAGAGCAGGACTGGAGGCAGGGTGATGATCTAGGGAGCTGTTGCAATCCTACAGATGAGAAAAATAGTAGTCTAAACTGAAGTAATGGCAGAATGGTGGAGATTTCTACAATGACTGGACACAGTGGAGGATAGTCAATATCAGTAAAATGAGTTTTCTTTTGTGATGCCCAATTAGTTGGAACAAGAATTGAATCTACCATATTTTCCTTATTAGCACCATGTTCTAAATGTGTGCCTTAGGAATGTAAGCAGCAAAATAATCTCTGATCTGACACACATAATAGAGTACATATTTATTCCCACCAAAAGTGAATGGGATGTTTATGTGGAAACCTGGAACTCTCCATCCTGAAAAGTAAGAAACTAGTCATTATATGTTAACCCATGCACGCCTTAGGAATTAGTCATACAGAAAATATATGGGAGAAGGAGTTCTAGCAAATGGGCAATTACTAGTCTGGTGAGTTCTACCAGTAAAAACATTATGTCAAAGTGACACACTGAATCATCTGAAACTGGGAAGCAACAATCATAGCAGGAGCTTCCAGGATATCTAGATAATTGATGCCACAAGTCTTCAGGAAACATAACTTTGTGATATGTCAATCCTTTGTAGTTTAAGGTAGTTTTAGTAGACAATATATAACCACATCTATAAATGCAGGGATGAGCAAAACATCAACATATCAGGAAATACAGAGGTTAGGTGTTAATGTTTTGCATAACAATAGATGCAAATATTGCATTATAGTACTCTGTTAGGTACTCTGAATCAAAGACTATAGAGACATTTCTTATAACTTAATGATCTTATCTCTTACAGGTTGTGGTAAACGAGACGTTCCATTAATTGTCAACAGAATAATGTCTGGAGACATTGCAGCCAAGGCTGCCTGGCCATGGCAAGCTTCCCTTCAGCGAAATAACATACATCAGTGTGGGGCCACCTTGATTAGTAATACGTGGCTCATCACCGCAGCACATTGCTTTAAGAAGTAAGTTATTGACTGTAAGTTGGCCCTCACTACTGCTAAAAAGCTGAGATTTATTATGTCCTGATCAATAATCAATGCCCCCAAATATTACTGAGGTAAATGAGAAAATTTTCTTTCAAGCTTTTTTCTAATGTGTTATAGTTGCATATGTATTTGCAAAGTTAGTGAGAGAGTAGTAGTCCTTATCCTAGGATTCATTGGTCATGTCCTCACAGGTTTTGAGGGCTTTTTTGAAGTATAGTTGACACAAATGTCACATTAGTTTCAGGTGTAAACATGGTGATTCAACTTCTCTATATGTTATGCTATGTTCACCACAAATGTAGCTACCATCTGTCACCATACAACACTATTACAATATTATTGACTATTTTCCCTATGCTGTGGCTTTTATTCTGTGACTTATTTTTTCCATATTTTCCCCATTCCTCAACCACCCACTCCCCTGGCAACTACCAGTTTGTTCTCTGTATTTATAGATCTGATACTGCTTATTTATTCATTTGGTCTTTTTAGATTCCAGATATGAGTGAAATCATGTGTTATTTGTTCTTCTCAGTCTGACTTATTTCACTTAACATAATACTCTCTAGGTCCAACCATGCTATTGTGAATGGCATGATCTCATCTTTTTCGAGGTTGTATAACATTCCATTGTGTGTATGTTCATACACACACACATATATACATATACACATATACACACACACAAGTATATATGCAAGCACACACATATATGTAAACACATATATGTATATCTATATGTGTATATATAGATATCTATACATATGTATATATCTATATATATCAAATCTTTCTTATCTATCCATTTATCAGTGGACATTTAGGTTACTTCCATATCCTGGCTATTGTAAATAATGCTGCAATAAAACATAGGGGTGTTTATATCTTTTTTGTTTTAGTTTCTTTTTTTAAGTTTTTATTTAAATTCCAGTTAGTTAACATACAGTGTAATATTAGTTTCAACTGCAGAATTTAATGATTCAGCACTTATATACCACACCCAGAGCTCATCACAATAAGTGTACTCTTTAATCTCCATCACCTTTTAAACCCATCCCTCCACCCACTCCCCCTTTGATAACCATCAGTTTGCTCTCTATAGTTAAGAGTCTGCTTCTTGGTTTGCCTCTCTTTTTTTCCTTTGCTCATTTGTTTTGTTTCTTAAAACCTACATATGCGTAAAATCGTATGGTATTTGTCCTTCTCTGACTTATTTAACTTAGCATATTTTCCAGCTCTGGGGTGCCTAGGTGGCTCAGTTGGTTAAGCACTGGATTCTTAATCTCAGCTCAAGACTGTGTCTTGAGATCATTGTCATGAGTTCAAGCCCAGCCTTGGGCTCTGCACTGGCATGAAGCCTGCTTAAAAAAAAATAATCTTTAGCTTCATCCACATTGTTGCAAACGACAATATTTGATTTTTTTATGACTAAGTAATATCCCATTATATATATATATATATCCCATTATATAGTTTAGATATAGATGTAGATAGATATAGATAGATATATACTATATTTTCTTTGTCCATTCATCAGCCAATGAACATCTGGGCGTTTCCATAATTTGGCTGTTGTAAATAATGCTGCTTGTATAAACATCAGGGTACAAGTGTCCTTTTGAATTCATGTTTTTACATCCTTTGGTAAATATCTAGTAGTATGATTCCTGGATCATAAAGTAGTTCTATTTTTAAATTTTTGAGGAAATTTCATACTGTTTTCCAGTTTGCATGCCCACCAACAGTGTAAGAGGGTTCCTCTTTCTTGGCAAGCTCACCAACACCTGCTGTTTCTTGTGTTGTTGATTTAGCCATATTAACAGGTGTGAGGTGATATCTCATTGTAGTTTTAATTTGGAGTGCATATATCTTTTTGAATTAGTATTTTTGTTTTCTTTAGATAAATAGCCAGTAGTGGAATTACAGGGTCATATGGTAATTCTGTTTTTTTAAATTTTTTTAAAAGTTTATTTATTTTGAGAGAGAGAGAGCCCACACATGGGAGCAGGGGAAGGACAGAGAGAGAGGGATAATGAGAATTCCAAGCAAGCTCCCCACCATCAGCACTGAGCCTGCCATAGGGCTCAAACTCACGAACTTTGAGATCATGCCCTGAAACAAAATCAAGAGTCAAACGCTTAAAGGACTGACCCCCCCAGGCATCCCGGTAATTCTATTTTTAATTTTTTGAGGAACCCTAATATGATTTTTCACAGTGGCTATACCAATTTACATTCTCGCCAATAGTGCCTAAGGGTTCCTTTTACTCTACAACCTGGCCAACATTTGCTGTTTCTTATCTTTTTAATTTTAGCCATTCTGACAGGTATAAGGTGATGTCTCATTGGTTTTGATTTGCATTACCCTGATGACCAGTGATGTTGAGAATTTTTTCATGTGTCTATTGGCCATCTGTATATCTCCTTTGGAAAATGTCTATTTGGTCACACTGCTCATTTTTCAATAGGATCATTTGTTGTTGTTGCTATTGTTTTTGGTATTGAGTTGAGTAAGTGCTTTATTTATTAACCCCTTATCAGATATACTATTTGCAAATATATTCTTCCATTCAGTAGGTTGCCTTTTTGTTTTGTTGATGGTTCATTCACTGTGCAGAAGACCCCAAAGGGCCAAAGCAACTTGAGAAAGAATGGGGCTGAAGAAATCACAATCCCAGATTTCAAGATACACTACAAAGTTGTGGTAATCAAGACAGTATGATACTGACACAAAAATAGACACACAAATCAATAGAACAAAGATCCCAGAAATAAAGCCACAATTATATGGCCAATTAATCCACAACAAAGGAGGCAAGGATATACAATGGGAAAAAAGACAGCAAATGGTATTGGGAAAATGTGACAACTACATATAAAAGAATGAAACTGGACCACCATCTTACACCATACACAAAAATAAACTCAGAATGGATTAAAGACCTAAAGGTGACACCTGAAACCATAAAATTCCTAGAAGAAAACATAGACAGCAATCTCTTTGACATTAGCTGTAGAAACATTTTTCTAGACAGGTCTCCTCAGGTAATGGGAAAAAAGCAAAATTAAACTACACCAAAACTATACTATTTGGGGACTACACCAAAATTAAAAGCTTTTTCACAGTAAAAGAAACCATCAACAAAATAAAACAAAAAGACAACCACCAAATGGGAGAAGATACTTGCAAATAAAATTCTGACTTTTGATACCATAGTAATTCTGTCTACCTGATTCTAAATCTGAATAGAGACATAGATTCTTAAAGTTTGAAAGACATCAGAGCTCAACAGGCCAATATGTTAGAACACATCGAAATCCCTTATATAGGAACCTAGTTGGGCATTGAATATCTCAAAGTAAGGAGAGCTTATTAGCTCCAAAGTTAGCCAATTTTGTGGTAGATGGATCTACTATTGCAAATATCCTTATAACACTGAACACCAAATCTGCAACCTAATAACTTTTACCCACTGATATATTTTTTTTCATCTGGAACAGCAGGGATCAAATTTATTTCTTTCGCCATAGAACCTTGGAAAGAACCAGCTCCTTATTCTCTCTTTTAGAGGCCAAATAATATAAAATGAATGTAAATCCTTGAAACCATATGTGAAAATAAATATCACTACTTTATTTCATAGCATCAGCTTCAGATGTTCTACAATCTTAGTTCTTCTCCTCTAAATGTCCTTGATTTTGTCAGTGTCTCCTTTAAATCATGCTTCCAAGAACTAAAAACACTTCTCAAAATAGATAGTATGATTGGGTCGCCTGGGTGGCTCACTCAGTTATGTTTCCAACTCTTGATTTTGGCTCAGATCATGATTTCATGGTTCATGTGATGGAGCCCCACATCAGGCTCTGTGCTGACAGTGCAGAGCCTGCTTAGGATTCTCTCCTCTCTGTCTCTACTGCTCCCCACCCTAAAATAAATATAAACATATTTTTTAAAAATCTGGATAGGATGACCAGGGTCATAATGACAAACTAAAATGGGAGGGCTTCTTAAAAGCAAAAACAAAATATGCTTGGGATTCTGGGGCACCTGGGTGGCTCAGTCAGTTAAGCATCCGACTTTGGCTCAGGTCATGATCTCATGGTTCGTGGGTTCCAGGCCCGCATCGGGCTCTGTGCTGACAGCTAGCTCAGAGCCTGAAGCCCGTTTTGGAATTCTGTGTCTCCCTCTCTCTCTGACCTTCCCCTGCTCACACTGGCTCTCTCTCTCAGAAATAAATAAAAATCATTTTAAAAAAACCTAAAACAATATAAATTGAATGTGAAGGTAATCGGTAGCTCAATTACCAAAAACTCTGTCAAAAGGATGATGTCTAATTCAGTAGAATTGCTACTGAAAGACTTAAGATGTTTTTAATAGCCCACCAAAGATCTTTATCCAGCACCATGTCCTAGACAATGTATTTTCTAGGTTTGGCAGATGATGTGGAAGTTATAATCAACAAAGTAGCTGACGACAGATGCTGGAAGGGTTAACAAATGTGTGGTTAAGAAAAACAGATTTCAAAAGGATTTAATTATGTTAGAGTGATAATCCAGAACAATTTTGCTAAGTATAAATGTAAGGCTCTAACTTGAGTTAAAAAAAAAAAAATCCAAAAAAAAAAAAAAATCCAAGTATATCAGTACCAAAAGCATATTTGTGCTTTAATATGTGCAAATTGCTTAAAAGTTTTGTCAGAAAATTGTTCAGTTATTCACAAAATTACATTGTGATTTAAACTGAATTAAAAGAAACACAGATTTCAAAATAGAAGACATTAGACTCTTTGTTGGTCAAATCCTGACTGGGATATTGAGTTCTGTCCTGGAAATACAATCAATGAAAACTTGAGAAAATGAAACGTTCTCAGACTATAGAGAGTTGGATGGTAAAGGTAGGTGACAGTGTAACTGTATGGTCTACTTTGCCATTCAAAGCCTACATCTGAGACACTTTACTGTGTAAGAGAATTAGGGAATCAAGTAAGAACTTTCAATAGTTAGAGCTGCTCAAACATGCAAGTGATTCCAAGGTGAAGAAAGAGAGTCTAAGGGAAAGGTGATAAACTCATTTGCAGAAGGGTTCAAGCATAGACAATTGCTACCTGAGACTGTGTTCTTGCAACAACTATTACCATTTATTAAGCTCCACTGTGCTACAAATTTTTGGTTAGATGATTAAGATTGGTTTTATATAGGCGCACCTGGGTGGCTCAGTTGGTTAAGCATCTGACTTTGGCTCAGGTCATGATATTACGGTTGGCGAGTTTGAGCCCCACATTGCGTCAGACTCTGTGCTGACAGCTCAGAGCCTGAACCCTACTTCCAATTCTGTGTCTCCATCCCTTTCTGCCCCTCCCTTTGCTTGTGCTCTCTTTCCCTCTCAAAAGTAAATAAACATTTAAAAAATTGTTTAAAAATTGATTTTATATAATTCTTACACTCACACTCACCTCATTAAGTAAACCATGATTGGTAAGCTTTTTTTCACTGAGTGAAATAAGAAAAGTTAAGTAACTTGCCCAAGGTCACAATGTTAAGGGATGGTGGAATTGAACACAGGCATGTATGTCTGCCTCATGCAAAGTTCCATCTTTCAAGCATTGGATCAGTGAGAGGACTAAATGACTGTTTATGGCCTTCCCTACTCTGAGGCTGTTTGATATCACTGCAGTCTTATACTGATTTAATGCTTTAAAAACTCTTATCACGTGGATTGATTTTCAAGCTAATAATCAACAAAATTCCCAGATCCTTTTTATAGGGATGGTTTCCAAACCAGGAATCACACTTTGAATTTTTACAGTTTAGTTGGGGATCTGAATTACTGTTTTATACTTATTATCATTAAATTGCATCTTTTTGATTTGGGCCCAGTTTAAAAAATGTTTAAGTTTATTTGGAATCTTCACTTAGTGTCTTTCTTGTCAGGTGTTTCTTTCAGGTTTGCTACCTACAAATGTAACAAATACAAGTTGTATTAAATAGTATCAGGGTATTGTTTGAAAGTTCTGAAATGACCACTTCCATTTGAGTAAATACAATTCAAGGTTTGTCTTTTGCATTTCCAAGTTCAAAATACTTGATTTATGTTAAGTTTATCTAGGCATGATTAAGGTAAGGAAGCATATTTGTACCAATAAAATTCACAAAAGACTGATTTATAAACAAAAATGTCAATATGTTTATGCAAATGAATAATTGTGTTCCAACACCAATTTTTATTTAGCTTTTCTCATTAGAATATTTTTTACATCAAAACTGTGTATAAAAACAAGATTTAAACTTTAAATTGAAGTTCCCTTAGAGAGAAAAATAATAATAATCCCAACACAATTAGAGCTGTCAAATTGGACTTAAACCCCATGATATGTTTATATGCTTCTTTCTATGACTAAAGCTACCTATTAAGAAATAATTAGGTTGAGGAACAAGTATCTATACGGGCAGTATCTGCTTCTGCTTATCCCTCATAGACGGTGTTAGTACTTAGTTAAGAACACTAAACTTGCTACTAATAAATATAGTTTGGTGAGAGACCATGTCCAATAAAGAGAAGAGCAGAGAGAGGCAAGCAGACATGATACTTGGCAAATAGTTTAACCTATCTAGGCTTTATTTTCCTTATGTATAAAACAAAAGCTTTACTAGATGATCTTTTATTACTAAATGACCTTTCCAATCTCTATTCATACCATGATCTGCCAGTTGTGCAAGCCCATAAGCTAAAAGTTGTGCACAAGCTACAAGTCACCCACACTTGGTCATCTTTCACAAGATTTCTGACAACTTTTTTTTAAATTTTTTATTTATTTTAGAGAAAAAAAGAGAGAGAAAGAGGAGGAGGGCTGTGGGGGAGGGACAGAGAGGGAGACAGAGGATCTGAAGTAGGCTCCATCCAGGCTCTGAGCTGTCAGCACAGAGTCCAATATGGGGCTTGAAATCATGAACCATGAGATCAAGACCTAAGCCAAAGTCAGAAGGTTAACTGACTGACCCACCCAGGAGCTCCTACTTCTGACAACAATTACTTCATTAATTCTTGCCTCCAACAATCTATTCCCCAGAAAGAATCTATGGAATCTTTTAAATGTAAATGAATCTACATTACTCTTGTCTTAAAATCATCCAGTGAATTCCAGTATCACTTGAATAAAATCTAAACACTTTATTCATGACATATAAGACACTCAAAAATGTGGTTTCTGTCTACCTTCCCAGCCTCATGCCCCACCTCTTTTCCCTTGGGTCTTCAACTGCAGTCCATCTGGTGTAAGCCTGGGGAAGTTTGTCTGGAAACTTGTCTCCTTGCCTTCTTACAGCTGACTCCTCATAAACCATGTCTCAGATCTTAAAAGAGAATTATCTAACTACCCCCCTGTACTCTATTCCATTGTCCTATTTTATGTTATTCATAGCCCTTATCACTGCTTGGATTTATTTATCTGCTAATTCATTTTGCTCTGTTTCCTTCACCGGAATTGAATATTGCCACCAGCAGGGACCTTTTCTGTCTGGCTCACCACTTAAATACCAGCACTTCAAGTAAGGCTCAGCATACAGAGTTTCAATAAATATTTGCTGAAGAGATAAATGAATGATAGTTTATGTGCTTTACAGTTCTAGAATTCAACAATTCTTATTTTAGCTCTAAGATATTGTTTGTATACACTTTATCTTTCAAAATAGCAATAGACTATATTTAAAGGTGAAAGGAAACTCTCACTACAACCAAGTATTTTTAATATGGAGTTTTTTTATTAACCCTCATGCAATTATTATAGTGCTGTAGTTTATATGTACTGTTCATTTGTAACCTCTTCTAGTAATGCAAATCCACGTCAATGGACTGTTAGCTTTGGAACAACAATCAACCCTCCGTTAATGAAAAGAAATATCAGGAGAATTATTGTCCATGAGAGATATCATGCCCCAGCAAGAGAGTACGACATCGCTGTTGTACAGTTCTCTCCCCAGGTCACCTTTACTGAGAACATCCGCCGGGTTTGTTTGCCAGAAGCCTCTGCATTCTTCCAACCAAATTCAACTGTTTATATCACAGGATTTGGAGCACTTTTCTATGGGGGTAGGTATCTCAGAAAGGACCACAGAGCTCTAAGTCCAATTTAGCAAAACAGTATGATTTAATCCAATCTCCATCAATATTTTCCTGCCCCCCACTCCCATAGAGCATGGTTAGATTAGTTAGAGCTCTAATTTTGTAACTGATAGAAACTCAACTCAAGCTTACTAAAGCAAAAATAATAATAAAATAGAAAATTTGGCTCTTGTAATTTGGACATCAAGAGAGATGAGATGAGTCTGGTTTCAGACATAGCTGGAGTCAGGAGTTTGTATGATGTCATTAGGTGCCAAATCTCTGAATCTTCCCATTCCTGGCTTTTTCCCTCTAGATTGCCTTCATATGGAGGGATTCTAGTTCCACATAGCATCAAAGGTGGCCAATAGCATCAGGGTTTACATCATGTTCCCCTAGTAAATGTGGAGGGAAGAACATGTTCTCTTTCCCAGAATCTACATTAATCCCTGAAAAGGTTTCCTTTGGCCCCATTTGTGTCCAACATACTTGGACTGACTGGCTAACTCAAATACTCACTCCTGTGCCTATACCAAGAAAGACAGGTGTGTGATAGGCATCTTGGTCAGAATCACATGGAATAATGGAGAGGAAGCTCCAAAGGGGTGGGCTTCAAGGAAGACATAAAAGAAATAAATGTTCCCTCAGCAACACTGGAGTCAATTTCTACGTGCTGGTTGTCTATGCAATGCCAGGTATACATCGGATGTGTTGTCATCCTCATACCCACTCCAAGCCTCCTTCCCTTTATGCCTCATCTTTTTAAAAAAATTTTTAATGTTTATTTATTTCTGAGAGAGAGAGAGAGAGAGAGAGAGAGAGAGACAGCGTGAGCAGGGGAGGGTCAGAGAGAGGGAGACACAAAATCTGAAGTAGACTCCAGACTCTGAGCTGTCAGCACAGAGCCCGACATGGGGCTCAAACCCACAAATCGTGAGATCATGACCTAGTCAAAGTCGGACGCTTAACTGACTGAGCCACCCAGATGCCCCATATGCCTCATGTTTATGAGGCCCCCTCTCCCCTTTTAACTGACTCCTCCCCTTGGTTTGCTCCACACTCATTTTTACTTTCCTGGGTAAAGTTTCTTCTTGTGAAGAAAAACTTCACAAGTTTTTCTGTTTCTCAGCTACAATGTCCAATTACAGCAAAATCTGCTCCAGAACTACAGAGGCTAATTTAGAGAGAGTCTCTGATAACAAAGCTTCCATAGCTCTCTCTAAAGTGATTTAACTTGATATGCCTCCTCAAACTTCTAACAAATAGGAATGATTTTGCTTTTAAATGCTTTTTCGGCATACTTAGATACACTCTGGACTGTAAAATCTGGTCTAGGTACTTAAGTGTAACAACAGCAAGAGAGTTTCCTTAACTCTGGACATAATTAGATAAGAAAAGCCTTTCTGGGAATGACAAAACCCATTCACAGAGCTCTGTACAATTCATTTATATATAATAAACCCTAAAGAATAAACTTTCCATTCTTAGTCTCCACTAAGGAACTAGGAATATCTTTCACTATAGGCTTGATGGTCTCTAGATTTTTTTGCAGGTGTCCCATGTGGTTTTATTCCTATTATAGAAGCTGAGATATGTGTGGCTTTCTTTTCAGCTTCCTGACCAGTATGTGATTTGATATAAAGAATCCCCTAATGTTTGTGATATTCTTTGTTTCCACCAGAGGCAGTTATCTTCTTGTCATAACATTGGTTTCTACAACTCAGGATCTAGTTTATAATCTGGAGCCCCAAATTTATAATGCATTAGAAATTAAATCATTAATTTTAAATGTCATTATATGTATAAAAGCTCTTCATAAAATGTAAAGGATAAAATAAATGTACACAATACATAGTTACTTTATATAACATAGTTATATATAGCTATATATGTTATATGGTTACTGTATATATATATAGTTGTTATATAGTTATATATTATACATATATTGTGTATATGTTATATAACATGCTTTATATAACATAGTTATATAGTTATTTTATCAAGTCAAGGGAGAAAACGATCTAAACCTGACAATTTTCTAGAAACAATTTGGAATCCACAAATACAAACTGTATTTTTATTTTTTTACTTTTTTATTTACTTATTTATTTTTTTATAGCAACAGACATTTTTATTTTTTACTATCACACTGAACCATGAAAATAAATGATTTGTCAACTGTTGACAAGCAGATAATTGGTGTCATTTGTTCAACTAAAATTATGTCTAGTTTTTAGATCTTCTGCAAGGTTCAAAATATTAATGCCTAAACTGTATTTTTAAAACTTAGTGCTTTCCAAAAAAAAAAAATGAGTACTTTCCTATCTCTCTATATATAAATGGATAGGTTTTAAAGAAAAGGTACGATGCTAAGCAAAATAATTCTGTCAGAGAAAGATAAACACCATATGATTTCACTCACATGTGGGATTTAACTAAGACACAAACAAAAGAGCAAAGGAAAAAAGAGAGAGAGAGAAACGAAGAAATAGACTCTTAACTATAGAGAACAACGAATGGTTACCAGAGGGAGGTGGGAGAGGGGATAGGTAAAATAGGCAATGGGGATTAAGAAGTGCACTTGTGATGAGCACCGGGTGATGTATGGAAGAGGTGAATTACTAAATTGTACACCTAAAACTAATATAACACTGTGTTAAATATACTAGAATTAAGATAAAATAAAATAATAAAAATAAAGTAAATGTACAAGGGTTTTCCAGAAAAAGACACAAAATGTTTTTCTTACAAGCATAGGTATTTACAAAAATGTGATAAGGATAATAATTATCATTTAAATATGCCAGATTTTAAAGAAAAATTTATTCTAGACACTGCTTATATTAACTTCATTCTGTATCGACAGTTTTATTTTTTTTATTTTTATTTTTTTTAAATGCGATTACTGCTTTTTTTTTTTAATTTTTTTTTAATGTTTTTATTTATTTCTAGGAGAGAGAGAGAGAGAGACAGCATGAGCAGGGGAGGGTCAGAGAGAGAGGGAGTCACAGACTGAAATAGGCTCCAGGCTCTGAGCTGGCAGTCAGCACAGAGCCCGACGCGGGGCCCGAACCCACGAACCGCGAGATCATGACCTAAGCGAAAGTCGGACGCTTAACCGACTAAGCCACCCAGGCGCCCCATGTATCGACAGTTTTAATATGAAATAGGTTAGATTAGGAAAAAAAAGTCCACTCACTTCATTCTAGCTAAGGATGTTGATTGTAAACACTAAAATTATTTTGTTTTCCCTTAAGGGGAATCCCAAAATAATCTTCGAGAAGCCAGACTGAAAATCATAAGTGATGACGTGTGCAAACAACCACATGTATATGGCCATGATATAAAATTTGGAATGTTCTGTGCTGGATATCTGGAAGGAATTTATGATGCCTGCAGGGTACGTAGAGATTATTTTGATATCATTAACTCAAAACATTTTTTATCTCTTTCAAGAAATATTCAGTTCTTTATGTTTGTACCAATATAGATATCTTGTCGGTTCAGTAATTTCTAAACGCATATTTCACAACGCAAACATTTTTGGATGTTTTATTAAGCAAAATGCTATAAACAGAATTTCTTTAAAGGTATCAGACAAACTAGCCAACAAAATTAAATTTTCTTAATACCAGAAGTCTAAAGGTTCATAGAGCAGAGTCCCTTTTCTTAAAGAGCTCCCATCTAAAAAGGAAATCATCATGAACAATGAGCTATGATGAGATGTTTTAAATGATATAATGGAGATCAAATGTTTTTAGTGTGAAGGGAACATTTTTGCAGCAAATATCAAATAAAATATGTGGTTCATCAGAATATTTTAAGTAATAAGCTTAATATTTAGCAATTTTCTTTCTCTCTTTTATTTTCAGGGTGATTCTGGGGGTCCCTTAGTTATAAAGGATTTTAAAGACACCTGGTATCTCATTGGAATCGTGAGCTGGGGAGATAACTGTGGTCAAAAGAACAAACCTGGAGTTTACACAAAAGTTGTTTATTACCGAAACTGGATTACTTCAAAAACAGGCCTCTAATTCTCTATAAAAGTTAAATAAATATTGAGAGCTGTAAGAAAGCTACACATGTATGAGAATTTAAATATTCAATGAATATATACAATGAAGTGAGATTAAATGATGTGACTTATTTTAGAATCACTTTAATCAACCAATAACCCATAGTCAATTTATAAGGGATTTAAATCCTTATAAATTTGTAAAGTAGCGGGTCACTTTATCCTGGCTGGAAGAATACATCAGAGATACTCAACTCTTTACAGCATGCAAAGTAGAGTATAAAAGTAGTGTAATGCAAATTTTTGAAAATAATCTGTGAGATTTTTGAAACATCTTTGTCAAGCATGTCTGAGAAACTTTAAAATCTCTTAAAGAATTCAGGGAAAATTTATACAATTTCTAATCATTTCTGCTGAGCTCACAAATACTTTTTTCTTTTTCTTTTTTATTACAAATTTTCCAAAGAGATTTTTTTTTACTATAATACATTTTCTACTTATAAACACATTGGAAGGATCCTTGAAAAAAAGAAAGTTATATCTAGGAAACAAAATATAGTGGTAAATCAGGCCAGAGATCTTCTAACCTTTTTCTATTGTGAAACCTCCCTATTTTTGGTGATTTTTTTAAATACACACACATACACACACATACACACACACACACACACACACACACACACAGAAATATCCCTACCCTCAGCTATATACAGAGAAAGCCTGAATAATAAACGAATGCATATAATATCAGCTAGTCACAAAGATACCTTTGTTACAAAAGCTGGGGGGAAGGTGATGGTAACTTCATGAGTCATTCCAAAACAATGGCACAAAAATTTGACATTTCATAGATACATTTACATGTTTGAACAACCAGGAGGTAGTTCTTTACATTATTGTAAGGTTAAATGCCTAGAAGAACTTGAGAATTTCCTAATATGTTGAAGAATCAATGAGCTTTGTCTTCCTACATAGAAAGAAACATTTATATCTTGAATTGCTGTAGCCAATTATCTCCTAAGGCTTGTGATGGTAGCCTAACTATTGCAACCATGAAACACTAGCTTTAAAAAAAAATTAAATGCAAATTTCAAGGACCTACCACACAGAACACATGAACACAGTGACCTGAAAAAGCCCCTAAGTGTCTAATGAAGACATTAGGAAAGTCAGGCTTGGGTATTCTATGAAACAATTAAATGAAAACTTTGTGGAAACTGATTCCCTGACAATGTCAGTGAAATATCAGGTTTGTGGGCAGAGGGTATCATTTATTCAGCTAGTCCGATAAGACAAACCATAGAAAAATTGAGTTACTTTATAATAATGTCTCCCCACGGGCTTTTGATAAGGCATGAAACTAAACCTACAATAATCTAAAAGAGACTAATAATTTACACACACACACACACACACACACACACACACACACTAGACTAGTGTCCATAAACTAGACTCACAGAATTTTAAGGCTTAGAGAAGGCTGTAAGTCATTCAGGCCAATACACCTATGGTTCAGATAACTGAAGCCAGGAAATGTCAATGACATGGTAAACCTGTAGGTAGTTTGTATCCCAAGTGGGCCTAGAACTGAGCTACCAATTTCACATGCCCTTTTTCTTACAAAGTTTCTTTATGATCACCTATATTTATTGGAATAATCAGATCTATAAGAATTTCAGTGACTTCTACTGAATCTATTTTAAATTAGAACTCTTATCTTTCACTCAGCATTATACATTTAATGTTCCTATGTGTTTTTTCATGGCTTGATAGCTCATTATTGCTGAGTAATATATCATTGTATGGATGAACCACACAATTTGTTTATCCATTCACCACTCATCCATTCATCAAAGGACATCTTTGTTGTTTCCACGTTTTGGCAATTATGACTAAAGCTGCTCTAAACATTGTGTGCCGATTTTTGGTGAAAGAATAGACAAATCAATTTGACAGAATAGAGAGCCCAGAAGTATAGTCACATAAATATAACGAATTGATCTTTGACAAGAGTAAAGGCAGTTCAGTGGAGAAAGAACAGTCTTTTCAACTAATGATGCTAGAAACACAGGACATCCACATACCAATAAATGAATCTAGATGCAGACCTTATACCCTTCACAAAATTAACTCAAAATGGTCATAGACCTAAATGTAAAAATTTTAAATGATATGATTCATTGGGCAGCTGGCTGCCAATTCTCTGAACTCACTTCAAGATAAAGTTGCTTCTTCATATATAAAAACATGTATAGGCTTATACATTAGTTAATATTAGGGTGGTAATACATAATTCTGACTTTCAATGTTAAGATTCAAGAAATGATCTTAGAGTTATAAACTTTGCATTGTTAAACTGTTTTGTGCAGCATATAATTCTGGCTCCCAAATAAGTAAATATTGTTATATCATTTTAAATCTAATAATAAATGATGATTAAAGCATTTTATAAATAATATCACTGAATTTGTGTTGGGCCAAATCTTAGCATGAATCTTTCAACTGTTCTTAATCATTGCATTTCTTTTAAATAACTAGTTTGATTCTGAAGTAAGATTTCTCAACCTTGGCACTTTTGACATTTTGGTCCAGATAATTCCTTACTGTGAGGGGCTGTCCTGTGTACGATAGAATATTTAGCAGCCCCACTGGCCTCTGCCAACTAGATGTCTACAACACACTTCTCCTCCCAAATTGTGATAATCAAAAACATCTCCACACATTGACAAATGTCCCTGAAGGAGCAAACTATTCCCTGTTGAGAATTGCTGCTCTGAAGGCATTTGGTCATTGTTAGAAATGTAAGAGATATCTCAAAATTATAATATTGAGTATTCAAAAGTTATGGTTTCCTGATCAAACTGAACATTCATTATCGTGTTTCTAAAAGAAATAGCAGAACAAGTCAGTGGCTATTTCAAATACAGACTGAAATACACAATGTGCTTGAAGGATTTCTCTCATATTCTTCCCTAGACTAGAGTATATTTGTGGAGCCCCCTTAACCATTACTACAAAGATGGGCTTTTATAAATACAGCCTCTAGTATAGTCTCTCTATCTTGACCACAATCCACAGTAGAAAATATATTTCATATCACGGCTCCATAAATACATAACTAATTACATATATATTAAAAATTGATATAGAAATTTCATAAAACAATAGTTACTTAGTGCAATAAAATCCAATATTTTTTATTCTAATTCAATTTTTAAAGGGAATGAATATTTAACTTTTATTTTATTTTATTTTTTAAATATGTATTTATTTTTGAGACACCACAAGTGGGCAAGGTGCAGAGAGAGGGGGACAGATGATCTGAAGTGGCTCTGCACTGACAGGCTGACCGCAGCAAGCCCGTGTGGGGCTCGAATTCACAAACCGTGAGATCCTGACCTGAGTCAAAGTCGGATGTTCAACCAACTGAGCCACCCAAGTGCCCAACATTTTATTTTACTTTAGTTTAAAGTTTATTTATTTTGAGAGAGACAGAGACGGTGCAAGTGGGAGAGGGGTTGAGAGAGGAAACAGAGAATCCTAAGCAGGCTCCACACTGACAGTGCAGAGCCCAGTACAGAGCTTGAACTCATGAAACCATGAGATGATGACCTGAGCCAAAACCAAGAGTCAGATCTAACTGACTGAGCAACCCAGGATGTCCTCTATTTCAATATTTTTTTATGCTCACCCCACAAAGTAAGTTAATTTCAAAACCTAGCAGGCCATGACCTGCAGTGCCTATACCACATTCTAGAATAATAATCCACAATTATTAACATATTATTATTTTCTCCCCTACCCTCACTGCTCTCCCACCTTCAGCTTCTCCCTACTCTATCCATTTAGCAGATTGCAGCTCAGTTATGATACTATTCAATAACATTATTCCCACTCACTCAAATCATCACTGATTTCCTCTTTCCGTGACAAAAAGAGTCTAAATCTATGTCATCATGGATTTAGATACCTTTTATAATCTGCTAACAATAATAGACTTTTTGTTTTGCTTGTGCTCAGTGTCCTTAACACTGAATGTTACACTTTATTTACTGAATACATTCTCCTCTCTGGTCATGTAATGTTCTCTTCACTCTATAAGGTCTAGCCCAAATATCACCTCTACCAAGAATACATTTATCAATCCAGATAAAATTACTCTCCATTTCTTTTGTTCTCCCTCTAAAGCATTTCTCATACTTTACTCTGCATTGTAGTTTTAATGTACATGTATTACCTCTAAAATGTACTTTAAATTCCATAAGGCTGTAGGCTGATTTATTCATTTTTATATCACTCACAGGATTTTAGAACAATATTCAGTATATATTATGTTTCATGAAAGAATAAATTAACAGAGACAAATTATGATTCCTATGAAGGTAAGAGACCCCAGTTCTCAGTTGTTAACTGCTTCCCACACATCACTTTCCTTTATGTGGCCTTCCAACCCATACTGATCCTGCTTTGCATATTCCTGAGCATTCCTAAAGACTTTCCGCTTCCTGCCTACACCAGAAGTAATCAAAATACAGTGAAGCATGCATGATAGTGGCCTTTCAGGTAGTCTCCTAAATCAAAACCTGTTCTCTATATTCCCTTAAATGCGTACAGTCCAAACTCATAGGAATATTTGGAAATGAGGCTAAAAATCTCCCATTCTCTTTTATCATTTTTATTTTATCTACCAGGGACTGTCTTTTCTTCCTCTTTCTCCCATGGACCTCACAAATCTGAATACTTCCAACGGCCCTGTTAGATATCCATGATTATATTCTTCTGATTAAGGTCCTTCTCTGTTGAATTTGCCTAATAGGAAACAATAGAGATAAAACCAAAACATACACAGTATCTACTTTTTTAAGGTGACAGAAATAAAATAAAGTTTTAAAAAATGATATTTGGTTTATTGATTTTAATTAGCCATATAAGATTGTCTTTTTCATTTCCATTAGTAATCAACATTTAATTGATTACCGTTTTAAAACTATTTTTGTTGTTTTCAAAGTTCAGAAG